ATCGTCGTCCAAAGTCGTGTTGCGCAAGGCATCGATCAGCTTATTGTCCGTCATGTTGCGCCAGTGGTGTGTAGTGTAGAAAGAGCGTAAGCGTCAAGAGGTGGAAATGGGGCTTTCATAAGCGCTGGACGTTGTGAAGTAGCTTGCATAAGGGCAAGGCAGCCAGTCTGCCTTGTTTCGAGCTGCATGCAGCCGCTGTCGTGGTGTCGCTTGATTCGACCACAGCTTGCTGCGGGCCCACCTGACAAGGCTGTCGCGCTGGTAATTGGTCGTCCCAGCATGGTTACGGCGCTTATGCACACAAGAGTCTGCGCTGCTTCTAGGAATAGCGGATATCCTATCATTTGCACTTTTTCCATCGATATGCAGAATTCGGTGTATAAAGTAGTTGATGAGTCAGCGAAGCAAATATGGTGTATCACGGGAAGCGTTGTTATTATTCGTTGCGAAGGTCAGAATCGCATAAGCTACCAGCATTACCGGTAAACCCTGTGCTGTAGATAGTCGCTTTGCGAAAGCCTCTAAACCCACGTTAGGGGTCGTCATCTTTTAGCTTTAGAAATGAGAAGATCAGGCCGCGGGAACAGTCGATGAGTCAGCAAGGTGTTGGGAGGGAGCATATCGTAAAGAAGGCTATTTACTTAGTCATCACGTCGCGGGACATGGTCTCTGGTCTTTCCCTAGGGACTGATAAACCTCGATCAACACGTACTGTCCTTTGAGCTCTAGAGACATACCTTTCCTTGGACACATTTTCGCACATAGACGTAACCATCAAATCCGACTCCCAGTATGCCGTCCAGTACATAGATGTATGGGTGGAGAAATAGAGAAAAAGAGGGTGAGTAAACACGGCTAGAAGAGCATCGCCGATACTGACCTTCGTCAACATGCTCTTGGTTTCGATATTCAACTATGCAAGAATGCAATGTCTGCTACGTGTAGATTCCTCGGGGAGAGAACAGCTTAAATACCAAATATTGTAGTGACACCCTGAGATTTCTATATCCAGGAAGGGCCCTGGACCCGAAAGTCAAGCTTAGAGCCTACAAATTCTAGGGAAGTACTGTCTCTAGGGACAAGATGGATATTGATGTCAAGAGCGTCAATGAACAATAAAGATGTCGAGGTTAGGAACGCTGTCCCTAGGGACAAGCTGACTTCTCGAGCTTCGGATACTGTCCCTAGGGACAAGTTTAGTGTGTACACGTTTGTAGTGCTGTCCCCAGAGACTAACCGAATGTGGTAGATTCGAGTGTTGTTCCGGGGGATATGCAGAAAGCCTAAGTTGTGACAGGCCTAAAAAGCAAGATGAACTGCGATTCGATAGTAGACGTGGAGATATCAATGTATGTGATAATATATGGCAGTTCAAATAGCGACTCTCTCAACCCAGGCAAGCACTTTCGTAGCCTCCCACCTACTGACATAGATAGCACGGGATCTAGCGAAGCCGTCTATATCTTCGGCGCGGTCCCATTGGACAGCCAAGGCGTTGTCCTCGCCTAGTGGGAATATATCGTCCAACACATCCAGATCGTATTCTTCGGGAGGATCCTCGAGCTCACGACGTAGGGTACTGGACACGACCTTCGACACTTGGCGGTTCGCAGCATCCAAGGAGGAGAAGTGACGCTTTAGGGTTGCAGGGTAGGTACTGGAGAGGATTTTGGGGTCCTGTGTCCAGTCATAGACAGCGACATATTTGATGCAGAAGCCTGTAGTGGGAGCTTGCTCTGGCTGGGATGGACGATCGGGGGGCAAGGTCCCGCTTCGGAGGGCGGTAAAGTCGCGCATGGGGCCGGGGCTATCACGGACGAGCCAGGAGTCAATCTCGGCTTGTAGTTGGGATCTGAACTCCACCCAGCCAGGAGTGGAGAGATCAGGCTGGGGACTGGTATCAGGGGGTATTTCTTTATTCTGACCAACCCAGGCGATGTCGGCAGAGTCGACCCATCGTGCCACGTCAATTTTGGATTCCGGAGCAGGCTGGAAGAAAGGTTGGGGGTCTGTCCATCGCATGTAGGTGTTGTGGAAGATCAGAACGCGGGCATAGTGATCGAGAGCGTCGAGTTTGGCGGTGAGGTCGAGTCTGTCGTGGAGACCCGGAATAGGTAAAGGAGGAAGCTGGTGGACGACATCGGCGTGGATCAGGACTCCAAGCCACCAAAGTAGAGGATTCGTACGAGGAGTCGGATGCGGGTCGGTCAAGGCGAGAAGGAAGAACTCCTCGACGACGTCTTTAACGGCGGTTTCTCGGGGTGGGAAACGAAGTTGAATAGTGGCGTAGGAACGGAGATCGGCGATGAGATCGCAGTACTGGCGTGATAGTTGCAGGCCCATGTTATGAATGGGAGTATCAATGCCGCCATAAGCCGACCAGTGGAAGACCAGGAAGTGCAGTAGAGAGTACCAGACAGCTGTAGCCTGTTTCCGGCGCTCGATGTATCGTGGCTGACCCCATGTATGAAAGGGTAGTGGAGACGGACTCTCGATTGAAGAAGAGAGGCTACAGGTACGGTTGAGGTCGGAGCGGATCGGCAATGGCCAGCGATTGATCATGGCGTTTGCGAATTGGAAATGGGCGATAGTGTTGTTCATCAAGTGGCCGAGGCGAACGTGTGGAAACGTGGGGGAGACATCGCGGTCATGAGCGAAGGCAGCACAGTAGTCGTGCCATGCTCTCGTTAGACGGTCGGAATAGGGAGCGTGTGAGAGATGGGTAGCGTCGAGCCAGGTGCGGTAGAGGTGGCGTTCATCATCGGTGAGGGGCATGGCGCTGTGTCCGGGTTGAGCGAGCGAGAGAGAGACAGAGATTGAACAAGGTAGAGTTGAGTGTACATGTACAGCAATCGGCATCGAAGGTTTGCAGTACAGGCATGAGCGTCTGAACGGCGTATTAAACTAAATTTGGGCTGTCCCGGGGGACAACCCCTTAATTTCGGGAAGTCGGCCCGCTAAACGTA